TTGGCGCCGGCGCCTGTGGCGCGGGCGCCAGGCGGTTTTGGCCCAAGCGGATGTGATATTCATGTTCAGGGGTCAAACTACCCCTAGGGACAAGTTTTCAGCGAATTTGGTGATTAGGGTATTTTGGCGCCGGCGCCTGTGGCGTGGGCGCCAGGCAGTTTTCTGGCGAAGCGGATGACCCGCTGTCGTACCAACAGGGATTTTATGAGTTACCTTAATATAGCCCCATCCTGCGAAAATCGAAGGTGTTCTTGTGGAGTCAAATTTTGGAGTGTCCATATACTTTTATTACGCACTCTATAACATCCAGCAGGGTGGATTCCACCACCTTGATGCCACCGTTTGGTGTCTCTTATAGAGGAAAGATGTTTTAAAATTTGGCTCACCCGTAGCTAGAAACATCGACAAAACGCGCTGGGAATATGATTTGCATTTTGATGCCGAAATGTAAACTACATCTATATTATCATATCGACCTCTTATAAATAAAGCTTGGAATGCTTTTAAGAAATTTATAGGTGTATATATTAATTCATGGCCGCAAGTGGGTTTCGCATGCTGCCGCTGCTCATCGAACTCACCAGGGTGTCCGTACTGTAAGATCGACGGTCCCATCTTTGATTGCTGAAACCAATGTTGAGCCATCACGAGAGGCATTAATTCCCAGCCATGCGCTTCGAGTGCTTCTGCGGCACCAGTGCCTCAACCAAACGCGAGAGCACTCATTTTTTTTGCTTGACTTTCCATTCCAATGTCCCAAAATGGGCAGCAAAAAGAAAGAGAATGGAATGTTGAACGTCGAACGTCAGCTCAGCTGTTATAATAGTCGTTACTTGCTTGAGGTCGTTATGTTCATATTCTTCGCCATTTTTACGAGATACAGAAACATGAAACCAAATTGTTTAGGTTGTTATCCAATCTCGAAACTATAATGCCGTCAGCATGTGTGTGCTGTCATTTGTTCATCTCTTGTATCCCCTCGAATATATGTTCCCTGTCATACCGCTGCTTCCCGCTTACATGCCATCAGCTGAACAGGTAACCAGTTTACCAAACGGAACTAAATAATTCCGTCGAACTATTCTGTAACTTTCAGCTACTGCTTGCCCCTACTCCTTTTGTTATTGGAGTCCCAGCATCGTTTTTTGCTCACAAACGAATCAAGGAAATACCGAGTGACCTTATTCTAGTTGATCTGGATACTAACCACATCACAGTACCAGAAGACGTCTTTATTCCTAATTTACCTGAACCGGATGCTACGATTCTAAAGGTTGGTTTTACCTCTCGGTTTACTTTTGTGATAGGGGAGGAAAGAGAACTAGGAGTAAGAAAAAGGGGAAGAGGTCAAGGCCACACATCCGCAGCTCGCCACCAATTGGATGGATAGACGATATTCATCACGGAGTGCGTTTTAGTCTTCCGAAGGAATGGTTGACATCGATGTGATGCCCGAACGAGGTCACACTCGAAAAATGTTCCCTTTCACACCGAGCACAACGGTGAAATTTGCCGGGGACAAAAGATTGAAGTGGTTTCGCGAGTTGCGCCAATGGTGGCGAAGGACTTTGAAATTCAATGAAGTGCAGGGTCCAGCAGCTGATTCCACACGAAGGCGCACCAACCATCAGCTGTTTTCGAACTGTTCCGGCTGTCATTTGCGATTACTCAACTGCCACACGTTTTCGATGGGCAGCTGTCACTGAAAATGGACAATTCATCAATGTTCATGATAAGTTAAAAGTTCTATTGAATTGTGGCTTCTCTTTTTTTGCCCACGACATCAGTATCGTCTATAACAGACAGGAACGCCCACAAATCTATCCGCAGCCTCAACATGGCGTGGGTGTGAACCGTTTCAAACAGGGAAGACATTACGAATCACTTCACTCTGAATCACCTGTAGCAGCCATGTTTCTTTTGAAAAAAAGGCTATTAAGCTAAGTGGCTGCTCGTTATCTCAGTGTTCCAGCAGGATCATATGCAGTGCCTTAGCAAATGCTCAGATGCGCTCGCACCGTCTGCCAGCGAGCGACCATTCTGGCTGCCTGTCTTCACTATGATTTCCCGCTTTTTTATGCATTTATCTTACCAAAATCTCAGATTCATCTATCCGGAGAAACAGTTTGATTCCCTGAAAGCGAACATGACACTGTAGAACTATGGGAACCTTCACCCCCCTGCGTGCCTTTGGGCCACAATCACCAACGCCTGCTTTGGGCCACAATCGCCGATGTTTACAAAATTCGATTACGAGATTGTCATGTGAAATGTTTGTTATATTCGTTCTCAGCACATCAAACTCCCCTTCTTTACATATGCTGAACGAGTTTCATGGTCTATCGGTTTTGCGCCAACTGTATGTAGGAGAAGCACACTGAAATCTCGTAAGAGGACTATTCCGCAAGCATGATGACAGATTTGAGGTTAGCGTCTAACGCGCGTACATCGGTGAACATCCTTTTCAATATTGCCAGTTCGGATCTTACTATAAGAAACAACTCTTTGTCACCAGTTACAACTTGACGCTTTAGAGGTACCCTGGCGGAGTGAAAATGCATGCTAGTTAGCAGAAGATCGAGGCAAGAACAGCTAATCAAGTAACAATCCCTTCCTGGACAGTGCTACTATGTGAAGTTGGACAGTGGGGGAGAAGGGTTGAGCGCGCACATAATTACAAAACGCACTACACAGCGCCTGCTGAGGGGTTGATCATTTTTTCAGGTAATTTATTTTACTCACTTTGGGGTATATTCATTTCATATACCTTGTAAGATCAGAACAGAACTTCAGTGTTCTTAGCTCCGGCTGCCTTCAAGAATGTTGTCTGTAAGAAGCTATTCCCACGTTTGGATCCATTTCCGAGCTAGCTTGCTCAGAAAAGTTTATTTATTCATCAGTAACTTCGTGCATTGAGTAACTGTCACTATGGTCAAGAGGAAGAAGAGATATTCACAAAAGTCCGCGCTTCTGTTTTGATTGTTTGCATGCGTACTTTCATTGTTGCAACATTTCACCACCTGCGTCACTTAACAAACAGACGTGATTGTCTTCCTTTATAAGTGAGAGGAATTGCGCTGAAAAATCTTTGCATTGCCTGTTTCATTTCCTCTTGATGAGCATATTCATGACCAGAGTTTTGAGCGTGAGCGTAGCTCTTTACGAGCGGCCTAGAATCCTCTCCCTCTACCGCAATAAAAAAAACACAAGTGCGATTGAGCTGTTTGAAAACATATGTATGTGGTATGGAGAATTCTGGAGAGAATCATTCGTTGGTTCAAGCAGGCTCTTCGTTGCAAGTTTTTTTTACTGTGCGAACGCTTTACTCATTTGCGTACTTACGCGAGTATTG